TACCATGCTCTGAAACAAGCTGGACATGAAATCCTATTTCAAAATCAGAAGTACTGGACAACACCAGCAATCATTATGTTAGACCACACAAACATCAGCAGAGCTGAAGGAGAAGGAGGAGGAGGAGGAGGAGGAGGAGGAGGAGGTCTAAAACTCAACAAAGCCTGGTTCCCAGCACTGAAAAATACAACCTGCAAAAAGGTCAACGAACTCTAGCCAGCCACAAGGACTAGTGCACACAAAAGATTAGCTAACGACACTCATAGATCACAGTGACAGATCACCTCGCCCCTTATCACAACAATACACTCATAACAAAAAACCACCCTGATCACCATAATTACCCAATCTCGTGAAAAGGACAAAAAGCTGGTCCCATAGCTACATCCCATACACTACACCAGAACACAGTCAGAGTTCTAACTCCTGGCCTCTGAAGATGCCAGCCACAGAGACTGGCAAAATGCTAGGAAGAAAAACCTCCGAAACATGGCCAAACAGCCCGAAAAACCTACAATTACCATCAAATAGAGGATGACCTCTTGTTATCCTATTCATAGATTCTAATCCACTAATAGATTTCAGATCTTTTCTTCTGCAAACAAACAGTTGAAATTGATTTTCACATACAGTGAATACACGCACATATGCTTATGTTCTCTCCATAAGGATGATACCTATACAAGCATTATTTATTCTCCTCTTCTTCAGGGGACTAGGAAGGCAGGGTATATGCATTGTATTGATTTTCATCTGTCAGGTCAGGCACCATTTTTGGGCTATAATCTAATCTAAAGTGACCTGTGACAGTATACTACTACTGTGGGTATGTTTTATGTACCCTCAGCTGCATAAGAACTGGTGGTGTTACTATAGCTAAACCACAGCATATAGAAGAACACATTATTTTTGTGCCCTCAGTGCTTATACACTTTGTCTGAATCACTTGATTTTCCTTTTTTTCAGGATTGCTATTCATGACTCATCCCTTACTAGAATTTGGAATACAAATACAAATGTACTTACAAGGATGACCTGAAATGCAAGCACCTAGCATCCATAAAAATACAGTTGACAATGGTGGTCTTTGTCATGATGACTCTAAATCTTAATGCTTCATGTAGCAACATGACTTTGCTTGTTTAGTGTGGCTATAAGATTGACTTAACTAAACCAAAGTGAGGAAGATGCAAGGAATGTTTTGGGTGTATCTTGTCTAATATTATGCTCACATTTTATTGTTTTATATCCATAGCAACCATCAGTCCACAGAAATATGTAATTGTACAGTATCAGCATGGATCTGATGTGATATTGCTAATATTTGTGGGTGTTTGAAATAGATTCATCCAGCAGGTGTCTTTTGAGATGTTAGACAATGAATACTGTACTGTGTTCTTAAATAGAGAATCTTTTTGGCCATCTGGAGCTATTGAGTAATTTCCTGCTAAGAGAAAAACTACATTTATTGAAAAGAAGTAGAGATAGATGCATGTGTGCACGCACATGCACGTGTGCATGCACGCACGCATGCACACACACACACACACACACACACTCACTCCATGTTTATTGATAGTGAGTTGGAAAACAGATGTCCAATCAGAAATAAATAGTTCTGGAAATATTGACTGAAGTGTTTCTTTTTTTCCCCCCTCCCATATCTCAACACATCTTCAGTGTGTGCTTATATAAAACATGTTAAAATTATGTACTCCTGCTCCACATGCCAGTATCCAGTAACCTCTGTTTATTTATTTGTAGTCCTGTAGCCTTGTAGAGTCAAAACAGTGTGAGGTATCTCTAATGGAGCCTATGCCTTACACATCTCCATTGTACACTATTTTAACCAGTTTTTAAAATTAGGTATACTGTACTATACTGTCTAGATAAGATGATAATAAGGAGTAGGAATGTACATTATATACAGTGGTGCCTCAACTTACGACTGTCCCTACTTATGACCAATTCGACTTATGAACAGCTCTGGTCGCAAAATTTTGCTTCGACTTGCGACCGGAGCTTCGACTTATGACTGAAAAAAAACAACACAGGGAAGGCGGGGAAAGTGGGAAATTTGAACTGTTTCCAGTTAACGATTGGTCAGCGAAGAGGCTGCTTGTCTGTACCTCATTCACCCCAGTGGTTAGAGAGTGTGCATATGGAGAGACACTTCAGACAGCCTGGTACTGTACTGCCTAGTACTGTACTGTACAGTACTGTATTTTTTGGCTTTTTTAAATTTTTGCTTTTTGGACTTTTGACTTTTTTTTTAAAACAGAGAGACTGCCTGTTCTGGGTGAGTACACTGTATTTACTGTACTGTACAGGGTTTTTGCAGCTTGGGTTTGGGCTGGGTGGGTGAGGGTTATGTTTCTGTGCTCTGATGGGTCTTGCAGTGTGGATTTAAAATGTAAAAATTAGACTGTACTGTAATATTAAATTAAAATTAAGTGTGAAAATTAGACTGTAATTTTAAAATGTAAAATTTATTTATTTATTTTTGCATTCTGTGGCTCCTAGGGTTTGTGTACTGTGACCTCTCTTTTGTTTTAAAATGTGTGGGTTTAAAATGCGACTCCAAAGTCTTTTTGTTTTAAAATCAGAACATTTTCTGTGAGGGGCTGCTGTGGTGGCTGGCTTGGTGTAAAATGGTGTTGGTGGGTGGTTTTCAAATGTGTTTGGTTTTAAAAGGTGTTTTGTTTTAAAAGTGTTTGGTTTAAAAGGTGTTTTAGACTCCAAACTCTCCCCCTTTGTCTTCTCTCTCGCTCTCTCTTCTCTCTATTTGTGCTTAACAGCACAAACCTTTGTCTGAGGGGTCTGTGTGCCCCAGTGATGACCTTCTTTCTTTCCTCTTTTCCCCATTGCTCCTTCCCTCCCTTCTTTCCTGCCCCTTTTTTAACCTAAATTATTTTAGGAAGAAAATTATCCCCCAGAGGACAGATTAACCACTTTTGCATTAGTTCCTATGGGAACAAATGCTTCGACTTACAACCGGCACCTCTAGATACAACCAAAAAACCAGCCGGAACGGATTAATCGGTTTTCAGTGCATTTCAATGGGAAATGCTGATTCAACTTATAATCATTTCGACTTACGACCATCTTCTGGAACAGATTATGGTCATAAGTCAAGGCACCACTGTGTGCCCAAGGTTCAAGTCATTGGGCCCTTTTGGACTGGTTCTGGGGCTTCCTTGAATAAGGTCTCCCTCCAAAGCAATAAGAAATGAAGCATTAAGCCTTATTGACACATTTAGAAAGGAAGCCATTTTTAGGTTTGTTTGCTTGGTCTTTTTAGGTTTCTGTAGAAATGTTTACAGTGGGGAAGAAGGAGTCATGTAATGTGCATTCTACCATAAGACTTTGCTCTGGTTTCTAAGACTTGTTGTGTTTACCTTCTTTCATTGGTGGTTAAATACCTCTTCTCCTAAGATTTCCCCACATGCTAGAACAAAAATCCTATTAAAAAAGCTTTAGTTTGGCCAAAACACCTGAGGTGTTTCTAAGGAAGCCATTTGAGTTTCAAGAGTAGGTTGAACTGTTTCAGCCATTTGAGAGTTAGAGGGACCCAGGCAAGTCCCGTCAAGCTCATCCTATCCTCTGAGCCTATAACCCCATTGTCCCCACATTTTCTTGATCTGTCAACTAAAATCCTTGCCACCCAACACATCCCTCACTGACCTGACCTGACATTTGCCCCTTTACTATACATTCCTGATCCACTACCCATCATTACTCCCTGGTAGTGAATGGATAAGAGGGGTGAACTTTCTATCTCCTTCTTTAATCCACCACTGCATTTCTGTGAAACTCTGGTATTTTGCCACTTAGCTTTCAAGCAGTAGCGTTTCTTTTAAAGAGGCACTGAAAGAGAAAATAAATGGATTGTTGGGAAGTAAGGCACATGTTTCTACTAGGTGCCCTTACCTTTCCATAGCATGCAGCCAGAAGTTAATAAATCACGTCAATGGTTCTACTGCAGTACCATGGAGACCCCAAGTAAACAACTAGCATTAATGAAGCCTGGCATGCACTTCAGAGTCTCTCCATCAAGTCTATTTTTTGGAAGCTCCATTCCTTCCTCAGAGAAACTAGAAACGCAAAGAATTCTTGCTAAATTCACCTAACCAATCATTTTCATGTTCCTGGAAGGTTATTTTGGGGACCCCCATCCTGCTGATTCTTCATCTGATGTTTCAGGAAAACAAAAATGAGTATCTTGGAGGTTTTGCATTCCCCTGCTGTCTTATTGTGTTGTCCTCCCCCCATTTTGCAGTATTTTATGTAACTGGTTTAACAAGATTGCTCCATTCACAACATGTCTGGATAAAACATAGAAAAGATAGATTTTTCTCTTGTTGCCGGTGGCGGCTTTCTGCTAATGAGAAAAACAATATACTTTTACAAGCCTTTTGAAACATTATACATACTTTACTGATTAATCTGTTAGGCCCAGTGTTGCTCCCCTGAAGGGTACTTTGGAGATTCAGAGACAAAGACTGTGATTCAGTTTCACAACACGGTTAAGTCAAAGTACTTGAGTTTCAACGAATGTTATTTTGCTCATCAGTTTAATAGGATTGCAGGTAGTGCTGTCAGCCTCCTAACATTCCTTTCCTGCTGACATGACTCTTCAAAAGCCATTTCTTTGGCTACCTGGCAATTGTAGAAGATTCTGTGTCACTTGCCCTTAGTGGCCCATCCCGCCACAGCTGTAATGAATGAAAACTTTGCAAAAATGGTTGAAGCAAATACATCTTCATTTTTCTTCAGTATTGTCTTTAAGCAAAGGGTGGGCATGGGAGAAGCAAATTGGGAAACTTTATTTGCATTAATAGATTGCACATGGGTCTTCTGGAAAGAGCATGTGTATGGATTGGAATCCCAGTTCAACTATGGACCAGAGACTGGAAAAGGATTCAGTTCTTGTCACAAGTTTGTGAAATGAACACATCAATTTCTATGAGTGAGCTGTATTCCATCTCCATTTTTGTCAGCCAGTTTCCATGGAAACTACAGGGGATGTGAAGGAACACAAAACAGAGATGGCCTCCCTCTCCTTGTCCTTTGCAGGTAATGCTACAGATCATACAGCTTCTTTTTCTCAAAAAAAAAAAAAAAAAAAAAAAAGATAGTGGTAACCTCTTTTATTAAAAATGTACAGATGCCCATTTTGATATACTGGTCAGACATAATCAACCACAGCCTTTTATCATTAATTTAAAGTTTCCTGGAACCTTCACCCTCCAGATTCTGAGACTCCCTCAGGATCTCCTTGCACCTGGTGAAACATTTGGAGTTCTGAGACTGGGGAAGCCCTCAAATGTCTGAAAATCACCACTGCTTCAATGGCTTCACTAGGTCAAAAGGAGACAGAGGAGCTGGTGAGCTGCCCCATTGGCTTTTCATGGAAGCCAGACAGTGAACAGGTTTACAGAGCCATTACTGAGACCAACTCCAGCAAGTCCCAGGTGAGGGCACAACAGACTTTGTGTGCCATTGCACATCCCAGCTGAAGAAAGAAGTTGCACATAAGTGGAATCCTTTCTCCTAGGGATTTATGTCCTTATTCCAAGTGGCAAGGCCTAGGAAAGGGTGGGGGTGAGGAAGGAGACTTTATAAGCCTCTGTGCACAAAAACTGGATGATCTGTAGACTAGATTTTATATTAGGTCAGGGACATTGAGACACCTTCTTGCATCAAAAGGGACATCAAACTTTAGATTAAGAGCCACAATTTCCAAGTCTACAACTTGTCCCTACAACAGCCATTCCCAACTTTTGTTTTGTTTAGTTTTGCCCATGGCCATAAACACGATACAAAAGAAATATAGCTGAATCGGGATTGTATAAATTGCATAAGGTGGTATGTGAAGAATTGTTTCCAATCTGTGGCCCCCTTCAAATGTCCCAGGTCTCCCCAGGGAGCCGTATGGCCCCTATTGAGAATGGCTGCTCTAGAAAGAAATCATGACGTCAGTGGCCATTAGATAGTGCAAGTGAATGATAAAAAGATGAAAAGACTACTTTGCTTCATAACACCTTTTTATACAATGTAAAGTACTTCAGCATGTCAGAAACTCTTCATGCACATTTGCTTCATAAATTGCCAAGACACTTTATTTCAGTGACAAAGGGGGGGGGGAACTATACAGTACTCTGACAGGTATATGTCATAAGTGTATGGCTCTTTGTTTGATCGACTATGGTTTCTATTCATTATGTTACAAATAATCAACTGACTTCCAAAGGATATAATAGTTCTATCTAGCCAGGTTGGATTTATGGAAGTTTTAGAGCCATGCTGGACAAAGAAGGAAAAAAATCCTACTCCTAGTGGATGCCACAAACATGATCTCAGTTGTATGGATCATGGCCACTGATCCCAAGAAGCATGAGAACTCAGTTTTTTAATATTTTCCCTTCTGACACATCCTTGCAGCAGCATCCATGAATAACAGAAAACATGGGAACTACATGCTTGTCAAGAAGCCCTCCTACATTTGTCTCTTGCTTCATGGCTGTAACAAAAATAGCAGTGGAAAGGATTAATAAACACTACAAATTATTGTCCATACATGGGCACATCCTGGAGTAGGCCTACGAGAACAGATCTGTTCAATTCAGTGTCTGAACTCTGTCAAAACTGAATTTGGACATAACGCTACTAGAAAACTGCACTGGAAAGCAGATGTATGTAGTAGAGACGGGCAAAAGCTGCTGGTTCAGCACTTCATACCAGTTCAAATGAAGGCTGAACAGGAGTTTTGTGGTTCAGTACCCTGCCCCCTCTGGTGGGCACCCATTCAGAAGCAGGGGCTGGAGGAGGTGGGGCAGGGAAGCTGGGTTGCTGCTTCTGCATCATCCTGCCCACCAGAGGGGGCAGGGCGATGAACTGTAGAACACTTGCATGGGCACTGTCCAAAATGGCACAAACCACCAAACCAGAAATTCATGCCCATCCCTATTATATAGCTATGTTGCCAACACCTTCTGACCTAAGAGAAAACGAGAGAAAGAGAGGGGGGATGGATGAATAATATGTATAACAATCAAGCTTCACACACGCGCACACACACACAGAGAGAGAGAGAGAGAGAGAGAGAGAGAGATGCTGAATTTTCAGTTTTCAGGTAAGCAATCAGTAGAGCAATGCTCTCGCCTTTTAACAGCCACCAGATATCTCAAGAGCCCCAATATCAAGCAAAAGTTGGAGTAGGTGGGCTGCAAAATCTGCTCTGTGATTCCGTGGGTCTTCATTCTTGGGCCACTGTTGTGCGTATGGTCAAAATAATCAGGTACTTGGATTCAAAGACATGCAGTTTTCCTATTGAGTAGCAAAACTGCATATCCTAAGTTCCCCAACGCCTGGCATCCTGCTGTGTCAGCATTCTGGATGTCAGAGAGCAATGAAAAAGTCAAGGAAAGGCTAATGCACAAATATATTTTGAGAGAGTAGAAGAAAGGAGGCATAACAGAGGATCCCACAGCTGGGAAATAATTTCCAGGTTTATTGCGGGCAGGAAAGGAGGCCAAGATGCCCTGCACTCTGGATGACCTCTTTTGAATATCTCTGCCTGCCACTCTAAAATGTCTTCCAAGTTTGAAACATGGAAGATATAAGGGAAACTTATGTGCCCATTTAAACAGTGAGGAATGCCATGTGGGACCTACAAAGCGAATTAAATCTATACTTCTTTGCGTATATAAACATATTTGAGAAGCTTGCCTATGTCTGTACAAAAGGGAATAATAATTTCTGTCAAGATCATAGATTAGTTTAGACTCTAGGCACTTGTATTTTAGACATGTCAGTATGGTGAAGTGCCTTAAATTTCCCCTATTGGTAATTAATGCCCTATAGGCATCTGTTTCCCTGAAACAAAAAAATACATAAACCATGAAAAGATTAAATCTAATTATAATTATTTCCATTTCTGGGGCATGGCCTTTTCATAAATAATTATGTCTCCATGTAAAACTGGCAGGCTTTAAGCTCTCACCATATCATTCATAATAATGAGTAAGATAATAAGCCACAAGCCAAACTTTCACATGCTCATTAGTTATAGAAGGCTAATTAGGACTTTAACCAGAAATGCCACTAAGCATCATGCTCACAAAGGTAATTAGAGAGCTAAAGACATTAAGACAGCAAAACACCCATTGCCCCCCCAGAAAAGCTCCAAAAATTGCAAAAGATGACAAGAGATTAGAAGGCCATTTTCTACTGTTAACAATGCTGAAACATGTAATTGTATAGTAAACAGTCAGTCATGGTAATATTGATATTATCTGATACCTAGGAAGTAATCCTGCCTGAAGTGAAGGCAGTACCCACATCCAGAAGAGTTTCCATAGGATTAGACTGAGTTGTGTCACCATTTCACCTTAATGTCAGTGCATATGCCTTCAGCATGCCAAATTCATTTTTGCCTAAAACAGAAGGCTGGGCTGAAGGGAAAGTTGAGAATTGCCCACTTGCCTTCCCTCACAAATAAATGGACAAGGGTGCCAGGGGTAGATAACCCTTGGCCGGCAAGCTGCTGTTGGAGTCAATCTCTTTTCAGTCTCAGCAGGCTAATGGCGAGACATGATGGGCAGTGTAATCCAAAAGTTGCTTGGAGATCCACAGACCACTTTGTCCACTGGCCCTGATCTGTGGAGCAAAGGACAATTTCAAGTAATCTGGTATATCAAAATACCAGAGGGTCTTGTGGCATCTTAAAGGCTAGCAGAATGAGCTGTTGTGGGTGAAAGCCCACCTCTTCAGTGTGCGTAAATCGGCCACAAAGTGTATACCATGAAAGCTTATACTAAATTAAATTTGTTGGTTTTTGAGATGTCACAAGGCACTTTGTTGCAGTAGATCAACATGGTTATCACCATGTGAGGGTTCAATTGTTACCTCAGGCTTATCAGACACAAATACAGGATGGTCAGTTTTTTGGAAAACAGAACTAGGATTTACTGGAACATCAAATAAAGAAGTGTCAACATTAAACTTGTCATTGTTCTTTTCTCTTGTTGCCAATGGGTCAAATGAGGGTGTCCATACATCTTGTAAAAAGGGGTTGTAACTTGGATCATACCAGGTTCTCTTAGAAAATAGGTTAGTCTCACCCGGTTCCTTAGCATCAATGTCCACATCTATCAGGGGTAAGGTCTCCTCATCTCCCCTCTCCAGGTCATAGGGGTCGGCTCCTTCTGCATAGGGGTCCCAAGATCCGGTAAATATCTCCTCCGGTGAGCCTCCTCCAGACGCCATGCTTTCCTTTCCCTTTCTTCCCTCTCCACCGCCTCTTTCTCCTCTCTCAATCGTCTCCACCACTCTCTGGCTTCTGATTCCCCCCAATAAGACAGTTTTGGGGGGGGGTAAATCCCTTTGTCACCTGTAATCTGCCTCTTCCCAAGGCACCCTCACTTTCTCACATCTCCCTGTCCAGGGATCCTCCACCCATATTAATTCCCAACCTCCTGGTATGTTTTCCCGCTCTCCTTTTATATCACCATGTCCCGCCTCTACCAACGGTTGCTCCCCCACCCTTATTCCCGCCTTTTCTATTCCTGTCTGGGTGGCCACTGACAGTTTCATCAAACCCTGTTCCAAGTCACAGGTGTCTATACCCTGGTGTCTGACCGTGACGCGGGTAGCCGTAGATTACGTTTGGGTCTCCTTCTCTCTCTTAAAGGAGGACAACACTCCGGCGAGCGCTTCTATAGCCTTGCCTCGGGTCTCACACACCACCACCCCTGTAAAAGGCTGATTTATGAGATATTTGCCTTTCTTTATCACTTCATCAGGGAGATATTAATTTATTTGGATTTGTTAGATGTGTATATATCCTGCGTTTCCTCCAATATGCTCAAGGCAGCAAATATAGTCTTCTCCTCACTTTATCCTCACAGTGACTCTGTGAAGTAAGGCAGGCTGAAAGAGAGTATGCATCCCAAGATTATACCATGTGGTTCATGACTCAATAGATGTCTGAAGTCCCAATCCATCATATGGGTGGATTACAGGATGAACATTATGTGTTCTGCTAACATTGGC